TGAAAATACTTGGTGAAGTAATTTGCTCATAGTCGCCAAAGTATCATTTATTTTTTTTACATTTTATACACATATATATATAATTTTTTTTCTTTCTGGCATTGCTGTCATACCAGCATTTTTGCTTGGCTTGCACCTGTGTTATGTTTTTCTGCATCATCCCTACCAATGTCCATTTTTTTCTAAAAATCTTAGGACATAATTCACCACAGAGACTATGGGGCTGGCAATCTTGGCAGTTTCTCGGATTAGGTCTAAAGTTCCTCTCACTTGCCTTCTATATAGAAGTTCAAATGTTGAAGAACCTGTTGAAGAACCTGTTGACTCCTGGGGCACCTCTCTGTAGACAAACAGCATATATTCCACAAACATCCTCAGCATTTGTTTCCCATTGAAAACATCTACAACAACAAGTCGCATTGAAACATCCTTACAGGCCATTCTTTTGTAGGTGGCTACAGTTTGTGTCATATGTATTTTACTACAGAGAGACTGCTGGAAATTGCTAGTGGCCCAGTTATATCCACCACCACCCTCTTTAAAGGTTTATCAATTACAGGCAATGATTGCAATGGAGCCCTGTTCTCCTGCCTTGCCAACTTGCTGACAGGTGACACAGGACCTACAGTATTTGGTTATGTCTGTAAGCAGGTTAGGGTAGAACAATTCTGCATCATTAGGGGCTTACTTTTATTGATTCCCATTAGACCTCCTAAGGGAATTTAATGCTTTACCTTCAGCAAGGATCCTCTAAAAAAGGCTGCTTTTTGACCATCCTGGCCTCACTGCCTTCAGTGGACAGATACTCTGTATACAACGTTCCATTGTTCTTGTAAACCTTTGTTTCACTCCCTCTACAGTAGGACTGCAAACTTGGCTTCTGAATCCTTCTAGACTTGTGTCAGTTTGAAGTGCTTGCTCAAAGGCCACACTACAGAGGCTGAGTCCACTGGGTCAGAGAAAGGAAAGTAGTGTGGCTGCCATCCCCAATGTGCTTGCAATGTGGCAACTCCCTGTCTCCTTCCATAGCAGAACTGTGAATCTCCAAACAACTTCTCTCCCTCTGTCCATTCCCAAGTTGCCCAGATGTCATACATATTTGCACAGTAGCTTGGTATGTCAAGAATACCCAGATCTGTGCCCAGCAGCACCAGTGTGCAAATCTCATCCAAGACTCCAACCTCTACTATCCCACTCCATGCCCCTATTGTTGAAAACCTACTCTACTACTGCACAGGGTACACGTGAGCTGGTTCCTCCAACTCCTGTGAGAGCAAGGAACTTCTCTGAGATGATGTTCATCCACAAGCTAAGGCAGTGGTTCTCAACCCTTCTAGGGTCGGGACCCCTTGGTAACATTTGCCAAGTTGTGGTGATCCCCAACGGTAAAATTTAGGGATGACCCGGCTGCTGCAGTGACATCTGGTGGCGTGGCGGGAGAACTGACACTGCTGCGCTAGGAGAGGGCTGAGGAGGACTCTCACCTAGCACAGCAGAAATCACGCAGCGACACACAAGTTGAGAACCACTGCTTAAAGGAGACAACGAATCCCAGAGAAATAGAACAAATCGCAGCAATAGTCCATTATACTATAATGTTCTATTGCTGGGATTTGTAGTCCTCTGTAGCTGGTGGTATTCTGCAGTGTGCTGTATAATGATTATACGGCGCAACGCAGAATAACACCAGCTATAGAGGAATACAGCAAATCGCAGCAATAGTACATTATACTATAATGTACTATTGCTGGGATTTGTAGTCCTCTATAGCTGGTGTTATTCTGCGTTAGGCTTACCTGAGAAGATTGTGAGACTGTGGATATAACAGTGTTATGTACGCCGTCAGAATTAAAAAAAAAAACATCGGAATGCATAGCTAGATTCCTATTGGCTATTTCCCTTTGCAATAGCCAATAGCAAACTAGCTATTGCATCTGCCCTCTGCTGCTGTCAATCACTAGCAGGGGACCCAATGGAGAACTGCAGGTCCCCCTCTGTTGATTGGCAGCAGCAGAGGGTGGGCGCAATAGCTAGCTTGCTATTGGCTATTGCAAAGTGAAATAGCCAATAGGAATCTAGCTGTGCATTCCTATGGGGTTTTTTTTTTCTGACTGATGTCAGAAAAAAATAAAAAACCAGAGCAGAGAAAGGTTTAATCTGCTCGATCGAGCAGAGTAAACCTTTCCGGGGAGAAGGTTTTTCGTTTTTTTTTCTGATTTACGACCGCCAGCGCACCCGATGTCAGAGAAAAGAAAAAACAGCAGAGAAAGGTTTACTCTGCTCGAGCAGAGTAAACCTTTCCTGGAGCCGCTAGGCGACAGCTGGCAAATAGTAATTTTGAGAACCGGTTGAGAACCGCTGAGCTAAGGGCAAACAAGTGTGACTTCTGCACCGCTGTCTTAAAAGCCAGAGGGGACACAGAGCACCACCCAGCGGGAAGGAGAGAAACTTTCAGGAGGCCGAGGGGGGCGGGGAGGAGAGAAACTAGAGATGCACCACATTTTCAGCAGAAAAATGGTCCTTTCTGCCAAAGTACCATTTTCAGCGGAAATGCTCAGTGGCCCAAATTTCAGTGCATCCCTAACGGTAATCCATTATGACAGAGAAGAAGAAAATTAACCTACTAGGAAGTGATCGGCAAAATTGCACATACAAGTTTTAAGAGTGACCTGTAAAAGAGTAGCCCCAAAAACTCTTAAGTCCGATCCAAACATTGTGTTCAAGAATGCAGATTATAGTGGCTGTATACTTATCCAAAATAAAACTGGCTATCTCTTAGAAGACAAAAGGATTTTAGAAGACAAAACATAATACAAAACATTGGACTTTGACCCCACTGAGAGTTTTTGTAGAGAGCTTATTAAACATGGTTTTGATAGGGATAATATTACCAAGAAAGAAAAAGTTTCTTGTTATAAAATAAAAACAGACATCCCACACTTCTATTACTTCCCAAATATCCAGAAGTCTTTATACCATCTGCCTTCTGGACCTTGTAATTAAGGTATGTTTGGTATAAACAAACCGGCATGTTAGGTATGTAACTATGTAACTGTTTGGCATTTTCCCATATATTAGTGTAACCACTTTTAATGAAGGTAACTCCATTCCAGCAACAATTATAGAATACAAATAGCGTATGGATCTGGTAGTTAAAATAACAGACTTTAAGATGTTTATTGCTAAAACTATTCCTCATGCTTGGTCATTTATGACAGGCTTCATCAGGAGTCCCTTGAAGAACCTGGCTAATAGATGTTTAGGACATCTTTTCTTTGCTTCTAGCTTGGACTATTTCCTGTCAAATGTGTTTCAAAATTGGTCTCTGGCTTACCAAGTGTGTCACCTTTCCCTGGCTGCCCACCACAGACATAGGATTTAAATTTGACTGTTTCTGTTACAGATGTGCACATTCTGGGGAAGATGTGTGGCACTATGTGATTATGACTCCTCCATTCATTCCACATAGGGATTCATCACACCTTATTATCATTACAGGAAGGACATAGCAGTACAACAGATGCACAATACTGCATGCTGGTAGATTCTATACTGTACATTAAACAAGTTTTTGAGCATTTAGAAACCGTTGTTCCTTCCTCCAGGGGGTAGAACAACAGCTAAAACTCGTTCTTCTGCTGCATACAAATGGCAGGGGGCAGGGCTCAGTACAAATGTGACTCCTGCACAAAAACTGAAATGTAACAGAAAAAAACAGAACAGAAAAACATTTGCAATAGCCTACTGCAGGGCTCAAAATTTCAAGTCCTGACCTACTAGCCAAGCCTTCAAAGTTACTCGCCACCAGTTGCCCTGCATAACACAAACAAACACACACAGGGCACAATGCACACACAGCACAACACACATACAGCCACAGCACAACGCACAGGGCATTACACATACAGCACAACGCACAGAGCATTACACATACACATTTCATCTGAAATTAATTTTTAGTCTTCGCACATGTCTAATAATATGCGTGTGTGGGG